GGACTTGCCAGTCTCCATAATTGCATGAGCCAATTCCTTTTACTAAATCTCTTTCTCTCTCTCTATGTATATAATTAGTTCTGTTTCTCTGTAGAAGCCTGATTAATACAAAGGTACTTCAAGAAACCTAAATAGAAAGCAGCAGTGTTTAAATTACCACTAAATTTTGCAACACTGACACAGTAATTTTATATGAAAGTGGTCTTTCCTTCCCATGCATCATACTCCTGAAAAAACGTGCTTCTAAAAGTCATAAATAGATGATCCTACCTGCTATGTTTGATTCCATCTTAGAAAAAACTAAAGGAAATAAGTTTTAGTTTTGTCATAACCAATTTTTTTCCAAATCATTCTATTGGTAGAAATGTTGACCTTATATTCATCTTGTACTACTACTTTATGGAATAAAATTATTAATTCCATACACATTGGCAGGCCCCACGCTAGGCACTGAAAAACCACAGGTAAAGTAGTCCCTGACCCAAGGTAGCTTATAATCTTAGTTTGAGCCAGAAAAACTAAAAACTTTACAATATAGTGCTGCCTGCTGTATTAGTGGCATGTCTCAACTGCAATGGGTATGAAGAAGCAGTGTCTAAATCTACAGGAGTCAGGAAGACATCCCAGAATAGTAGTTTTAATATTTAAAAAAATGTATTTTGATAGGTGATTACAGACTGATTTTCCTTTCAGACCTTCACTTAAGGCAAGTTATAGGCAAGTTAAAGCAAGTCACTCTGTTACCCAGCCCACCAACCCCATAAGACATTAACCAGAACCCTGCTCAGAACAAGCCTAACATATTATCTTCGGCTTACAGGAAACCACAGAGAGGAGGGAGAAGATGGCTGAGACTTAGTCAAAAACAGTTAAAATCAATTGAAGGCAACATAGCAGTCTGACTTGACCTGACATGGGCCCCGCAGCTCATTATATGCTCATTGTATTACATTATCATGCTATGGAACACACCTACCCACTGCCATGACGGGAAATTCCAAACCAAATAAGGGAAGAAAAGAGGTGGGACCCCATTTCCCAGAAAAGCCTGCCCAGTTCCCTGTATTGCTATGAATATTCCTCCCTCTTATTACCTTGACCCCTTATAACAGCTGCTTGATCACCTCGAGAGCTGAGAAGGTGATTTGCAAACTTTGCTCCCACTTCTCCATTCTTTGGCCATTGAATAAAGCTTGCACTGTTGAACGCTCAGTTTTGGTCTCGTTTCAAATTCCCAATACCAAACAGAGAAAGGACCCTCTGAGCTTAGGAGGGAGCTCAATTGGTAATAACTCCACATTATATTAACACAAAAGAAATCTTTTTTTTAAAGGTAAAATGGTTTTTTTTTAAAAGATTGGCACCTGAGCTAACAACCATTGCCAGTCTTCTTTCCCTCCAGCTTCTTCTTCTCCCCAAAGCACCCCCCCCAGTACATAGTTGTATATTCTAGTTGTGAGTGCCTCTTGTTGTGCTGTATGGGACACCGCCTCAGCGTGGCCTGAGGAGCATTGACATGTCCGGGCCCAGGATCCAAACCAGCGAAACCCTGGGCTGCCGAAAAGGAGTGTGCGATCTTAACCACTTGGCCATGGGGCTGGCCCCAAGAAATCTTGATCCTTTTTTTTTTTTCTTATTGATTGGCATTCTGTACATAGTTCTACAGTTAATAAGGAGTCTACCTTAATATCCATGAGGAACTTATGTTTTCCTAGGCAATTTCATTTTTTCTTTCTTTTATGGAGATCTGGAAGATAGGTTTCAGAGCAACATTATACTGAATGAAGTTACACATGTCCAAAATGGAGTCACGTCCCTTTTTCTCTTCTATATTCCATATTGATGTTAGCCTCTGACTCCAATAGCAGACCTACAGATAGTGAAAAAATGATTCATTTCCCCATTGGTTTTCCAGACTCAAATGCAATTAAGGATTTTGAAATTGCTTAAAATAATTAACAATAAACCCTCCTACTTTTCTCCCTTCTTTGGTTTAGTTTTCCTTGGGAGCCATCCCTGGGAACTCATATTTAAGAGCTTGATCTTCATTGACATTAATGAGACTAATGTTACCTTACAAGCAACCCCTTTATGCCTATTTGCTCCATAAAAAACTAATTTAATCACTGCATTGTATGCTGTGACTTAGACGATGCCCTCAGATTAGACTCTGCCAACTTGTGTCTCCTAGTATCTTTCTTGATCTAATTAGAATCTTGATAGTAGAAAAGATTTTCACATCTATGGACAAGAGAGTAGAAAATAATGGTCAGATTGTAGGCATACTTCTATGATTTAAAACTGACTTAATTTTATATATATTTTAAACCAAGAGCATTTAGGTTAGATATCTTTCATGAACATAAAAGTTTCTGCCCTTTGCACTCCATCTTTCCCTCAGAGAATGGCATTCTGAATGATAACACTAAGAAAAGAGGAAACATTTTGAGCGGAGACAGATTTGCAACCTCCTGGCCAGGGATACACTGACTGGGATGTACATGTGGCATTTTCTCATTGGAAGGCATAACAGCTTGACAAGATCTTGTTCAGGGTGGAGGGGTGGCATGTGACAAAGTTCAGTTTGTTTCATGCAGGCATCAGTGGCCAAGAGGACCTGATTTGAAGGAGCAGAGCAGGCAGCACTAGTTCTGCATGTTCTGTGGCCTAAGACTGTAAAACAGAGAGGTGTGTTTGTGACGAGTTGAGGCATATCATGGACAAGCCCTGGAAATGGGGCCGGCAGCAGCCAGGAGACAATGAGCATCCTAGCCAGCTTGCTGGGGTTCAGAGCTGGGCTTCAATCTCACAGAGGTTCAGGAGGGAGGTGTGACCAGGCATCAAGGACCAGCTGTGAATCCTGGTCCGTTTTAGTGGAGCTAGGTAGGAATAGTGGCTCCGTGGTGCTCACGTGGCATCCAGGATTTGCTTTTCATCATGGGGAACTCAGAGGAGCTGATGAGCATTATCCCAGGGGAGGAGCAGGTCGGAATTAGGCTGGGGCTGGGGAAGGGTAAAGGTTCCAGCCAGTTGTGATGGATCTCACCGTTGGAGTCTAGTCCTATCGGGAGTGGCCTGAAAACTAAGAACCAGGGACTCAGAAGGGAGGCCAATGAGGCAGGCTGACCAAACACTATGCTATGCTATGAATACTCCCCAAAGTCCTATGTGACATTTCTATTTACATCTCATTGTCCAGAATTTAGGCACGTGGCCACAACTAGCTGCAAAAGGCCGAGAAACATAGTCTTTTGTTCCAAATGACAGTGCTCCCAGATAAAAATTGGAATTCAATTAAGGAAGAAGAGGAAAATTGATATAGGGGGACAATTCCTTTCTTCTACCACAATCCCCACATCCTCTGTAAGAGCACTGGCTTTTTCTTTTTAAATTCTGAGTGCCACTTGCCAGTAGTATGACCAAGCACAAGTTAATGAATTTATCCAAATCTCAGTCCTAGTATCTGTTAAATGAGCCTGTCAGTACCTAAACCACAGGTTTGTGAAGATGAAATAAAATTAACATGTAGATGGTACTAAATACTTGTTGGTTTCCTTTGCCATAAAGGTGGTTCTGCTTTTCTCTTGACCATCATCCTTTACCATTTTCCTGGTATTATTTTGGTTGCTTGATCAAGATTGCCCTAGTGGATCATCTTAGCTAGATCTTATCCATGAAGATAAGGAAGAGGACTCATCCAGTTCAGTTCTTCTTAGGTCCTAAACCCTCAAGGAAGGGAGTTGGTAGTGTAATAAAACACATTATGTGCATTCATGAAACAATTATAGGTTTCATGAAAACTTTTGAAGAAATTTGTTAATTGGGGTCCAAATTGGTATACTCCTGAATGGTGCCTTAAAGGCAGTTAAGTGTGTCATCCTGAAAACAAAACAAAGGTTAGAGTTTAATAAAAATAGTTATATTTGGTGTGTCTGCCCTAAATGAAATCCACTTTATAGGACCTAAAAACGACAATACTTGCTGCTTTACAGTAAGACATTTATGGCAGCATGCTTTTCTTGTCGTATGACTGTCACCTGTTCTACCTCATAATCATGGACCCATACCTTTGGCTCCAGTTCTTGTTTGCTAGGGCAGTGTTGAAATTAGATAAGATATGAATGCTTTGCTAAACTCATTGGTTGGAAAAGGCCCTTCAGAAGTGCGGTACTTGATTGTCCTCCTTTTCACCTTCTCTGCATTTTCTTTCTTATCTTGGTAACCATAGAAATAGTGAAGAGAGGTGGCAGTGGCCCAGATCCACTCCGTCATTGCATAGAAGATGATAGTTGCACTAGTCCTTTGTCAATGATGATTTGATAGAAAAGGGGAAGGGTTGGACCTTGAACAGCAGCTATTCTGGTTTTGAAGGCGTGTGGGAGAAGGGCTTACTGCCCCTGCACTGTTATCTCTGCTCTCACCATTCAATGCACTCCCAAGTCTCCTGCGCCCTTCACTTTTCCCTCTACTGTCACTGATGCCCACCCCTGCTTGATCAGTCTCTCCCACGTAGACTCCTCCATTTGTCTTTACCTCCTTCTCTTGGTCTCTCTGACTCTGTCCTCTCTCAAGGTGTACCGTGAATGTGAGCTTTGGAGTTAGAAAGATCTCCTATGAACTAGTGCATCAGATCCTCAACTTCCTGCTCTCTAAAGTTGTAATAAAACCTACTTCTCAGTTATTCTGAGGATTAAAAAAAAGATGTATTTATGTATACATTTCTAGGCATTCAGTAGGCATTCTATAAATGTTGGTTTATTTTCTTGCATATCATTGTTTCTCCTCTGACCATGTCCATGTTCTTTTTTACCTCTAAAATTTTACTGCTCAAAATGTGGTCCGAGGACCAGCAACATGGAAAATGCCAAATCTCAGGTCCCATCCTAGACCTACTGAATCTGAATTTTAACAACATTGTGGGATGTTTTATCTGCATGTTAAAGCTGGAGAAGTGCTGCTCTAAAACAAAGACTCCTTCTCTTTCTATCTTTTTTCCAAAGGGGAAAGAATAATGGACACCACTGATTGCATGTCTACTCTGTGTCAGGTGCTGGTTTCTTGCCTGCCATTTCCCTCATCCTCACTCTCTGAGGTTGGCACTATCATCTCCCTTTACCTGTGAAGAAATGGAGACAGAGGAAAGTTCACTCCCCAGCCCAAGAGCAAGCAGGCACGGCAGAGGTGAGACTCAAACTCAAGTCTTTTTCCTGAACACTTTGTAGTACTTCAGAACCACAGCGGCCTACTGGCTTTTATTGCTGGAGAAGAAGACAGAAGTGGAAAAAAAAAGTATAAAATGAAAACAAAACAAAACAAAAAGAGAGACACGAAAGCGTGAAAGGTAACCTTGAGTTTCAGTGAAATCAGTAGAGAACCACTTTCTTGATGCTGATTCCAGCTGTCCTCAGTTCTTTTCCAGGTTCTTTGCCCTTTATTTGATATTGACATACATTTTGGCACCTAATAAACGATGGCAAAATATTTTACAAACATGAAGTGGTTATTTAGTTTTCAGTCTGTTTGCTGAAATGATGTATTAGCTGATTGTGGCATCTAACCCAGCATGTGATTGTGTTACTTTGTTCATGAGTTTTTTCCAGCAATATTTTTTCTCTCAACTACATTGTGAGATGGTTGGGGGAAGACAGCTCCTTCCTTCATTCCTTACAGCAAGGGGAAAAATACGCTATAGTATTTATATTTCTGGAATGGGAAATGAAATTTAATTTCAGGTTATTTAATAGTTTTAGATCATTTGCAGTTAACATTACATTTTATTATTAGTGCTTCTCCTTATTTGAGCAAGGAATCCATGCCAGTCAATTTCATTTTAGATCAAGACAGATTCATATCTTGTCTTCTGCACTAATCTCGATGTCTTAAATTTCTTGCTATGTTAATAAACTCCCTATGACTTTCGAAATTAAAAAGGCATAAAACATTAATTAACTGAAATATTTGAGTTTCCCATGTGGATTTTAATAATTATACCAATGATTCCATATGGGTCAAAATAAATACCATCTGATAATTGACCCAGGTAAAATAAGGTAGAACCTTCCTTATATTCCTCTATAATGTTGTTAAGCAGTAAGAGGTATGCTGGATCCACGAACTGATTTTTAAACTTTTGGAGGGATCTTTCTTAGAGGAAAATATTTTATCCTTACGACATTCTTAAGTCTCTTGAAGAGCTCATGATATATACTATAAGTACAGATATATTCCATATTTGAGCTACCAAGTTAATAAACTGTACCAACCTACCAATTTTCCCTCTCTTACCAGTTTTTCCATACTTTGAAGCTTAATTCACTAGACAGTGTTCCCTAACCAATCAGAAATGGGAAGATAACTGCTCCCAATAAGTAATATTTTTAAACCTCTCCACTCCACTTATTTATTTAAATTTGTTAAGACATCATGCTGTAAGGGGGATGGTTATCTGAATTTATCCCCTCTGGACACCAAAACTGTGTCCGTGAAAGTCAGGAAAGTCAGGTATCCATTCCAGTCCAGATACCTACTGTTGTGGGAATGAGTGAAAGTTCACAAACAGCGGTGCAGGAAATATCACATTTCTTTATTTTCCCTCCATCAACTGGAATTGGACTCTGAGCCCCCATCCTGTAGAACAAGCAGAGAATTCACTCACTCTTCATTGGCTCTTACCACAGGACCGTGCTAAGATTCTGGGGAGGTACTGACCACTCTGGTCAGTGACCGTTGGCCCGCCTTGGTTTCTGCTGGCGTGCCTGTGTCTCATCAGCGTGGGTTAAGGGCCTAGCTTGCTTCTAGACCATGCCTGGGGAAGGAGAGTCTTGGGGGAGCCCGAGGATCCCTTTGCCTAGGGTCTGCCTTCCTTACAAGCACTATAGGCCTTCCCCTTGGGGGCCTTGCCTCATCCACTGGACACTGCCATCAAGCTATACAGCAAGTCTCGGGGCTCCACAGAACCCACTGACTTCTGTCCCGTGTCTAGTCTCTCAGAATCTTGGCTTGCTTTCTTTTCTGATTTAAAAAATGCTTTCCTCTCTCTTCTTCCCCTCCAAGACACGCAGGGTTATGTCTTGTATGGATTTAGATTTTTCAAAAGACCAGAAGAGCCTCTGACTTCATATGTTTATGTTTTTAGCTCTGTAAAAATTCCCAAGGTAAGAAGTTAAAAAGGACTTTCCTCCTTACTTGAGACTGGAGGAGGAGAAAAACAGGAGAACTGGGTAAATTAGAATTTAAAAAAATTATCCCGACCAGTGTCAAAGAGGTTTTTATCTTGGGATTCTATGAAAACAATAAAGGCATTTATGTTTGATTAAATGTACTCTAGGTTGAAAACTCTTTACTGTAAACTACATTAAAGATAAATATACAATTCTGATAGAAATTTCTAGTGCCTCCTGGAACTGGGAAAATTTGTAGCCCAGGTTTAGGTCTGATCTGTGTTCCTTTGTGGCATTTCCTCTCTTCTGCTCGTGGGGTCAGTTTAGGTTTCACATGTTAGGAAGAGACACTTTACTTGGGGACTAAGGGGAAAACAGATTCCCAAAGTGTTTCCTTTGTAATATTATTAAAAATATGTAAATATTCCTCCTGCTCTATATATGTATTATATATATAATATATATATCTCATCATGTTTTTGTTTCATGGATTCAGTATTTCACCTTTTTTCTTTGAAGGTACTAATCATAGTCTTTATGAAATTTATTTGTACCCTGCACTATTCTCTAGCCCAGGAAACTATGTTTTATATATATACATCTCCAAATAGATAGTCATATTTTTTAAGTTTGTATTTCAGGTATATTAAATAAATATCCATGTATAGATTGATTTAAAGGCATTTAACTGGATAACTTGAAGGTGAAAATTATTTTAAAAGGAGAATAATATGCAATTTTTTCAAGTGGTTTCCATAAAACCAATTTTATGCTAGTAAGATATGTGTGATACAAGATTTTATATAGTATATTATATTTTAAAAGCATTAGGATATGGGCTGGCCCAATGGCATAGTGGTTAAGTTTGTGTGCTCTGCTTTGGTGGCCCAGGCTTCATGGGTTTTGATCTGTGTACGGACCTACACACTGCTCATCAAGCCATGCTGTGTCAGTGACCCACAAACAAAGTAGAGGAAGCTTGGCACAGATGTTAGCTCAGGGGCCATCTTCCTCACCAAAAAAAAAAAAAAAAAAAAAGAGAGAAAGAAAGAAAGGAAGGAAGGAAGGAAGGAAAAACATTAATATGCTGATAAAACTCTGGAAACTCTTTTTGGAAAGTGAAGAGTTAGCCAATAATTTATCTCTTTGCATCATGAGGGATGGATAGTAATATGGGTTCAGGAATCAGACTGCATGGTTTTGAATCTGCTTTCACAACTTCTGTGTGATGCTGGTAAATTACTTAACCTCTCAGAACCTCCATAAAATGAGGATAATAATATCTACATCACAGAGTTGTTGTGGGGATAGAATGAAAAAATACTTGTAAAGTACTTAGAACTATGCCTGACACATATTTAGTACTTAGTAAATGTTAGGTATTATTAATATTTTTTATAGAATGAGGAACCACTGTAAATGATCATGGTATGTAATCTATCCCACCAATTATTTATGGATAACTGTTACTTATTCTTCTGTTAAAAATTATTGTATTTGATATATTTGACATATTTGCTTCTTAGAATAATGAAGCTTCAAAAAACTCACCATGTGTTATCAAATATGATTGTCTTGAAGAGCTATTGAGTGTGATCTCAATTGTCAGAGTGGAAAAATCTTAAGACACAATCACATGGAACTCTGCCACGAGACTTTCTGATGCACACCCACCCCCTAAACAACACCTACACACTCACATACAAACTCACACCTTTGAGGCAAGCAAAGATACTGCTTGCCTCAATGTTTGCATGCAAAAACAAACAAGAAATCTATGTCTCTGAAATAAAAAGTTAACTTTTCCTACCAACATAGGTGTTTATTGTTTGGGGGAACATCATTTAGGATACAGGCATTAGAATTTTACAGTTTGTTACTTCGGATACTGTATTTTAACTCAGCTTTAATCAGTCTTTCTGAAATGTGACGTATTTTCTTCCTTCTTTAATATTTGTACTACTAATAATGGTACCTGACATTCATAGGCCAATTACTACATGCCTGTACTTTCTTTGTATTAACTTGCAACAACTCTATGAGCTGGATACTCATTATTTCCATTTTAGAGGTGAGGCACAAAAGTTTGAGTAACTTGCCGAAGGTTAATAGCCAGTGAGTGGAGGAGCCAGGATTTGAACCATGCCTCTAGCACCAGCTCATTTTAACACCATACCGTACTATACAGTAAGATATATGTTAGTGGGTGATATGTGTAAGGTTCCACAAAATGCCTGACTAGGGTTTGTGTTTGCTGTGGAGCTGATTTTAAATCAAGTGAAAATCAGAAGTGTGACTCTGAGATTATATTACAATGAACTTTTATAACATTTAAAAAAAACATTTTATTTGGAAATATAGCTTATCCTGTTAACATAGATTTTGTTTTTTAAGGTCTAAGTTGGTTCTTTAAAATAAGAAAAAAAGGCTCCATAAAGAAGCTCACTTTGTCAAGCAAAGTGTTGAAAGAGACTGTGAAAATAATAAAAATGGCACCTTGTATTTGTCTAGTGTTTTATTTTTAAAATGTTTATGGGGGTTGAACTCGCTGTTACAGGAGGATTACGTTATTACGTTCATTTAAGAATTACATTATCACATTCATTTAACTAATGAACTCCCTAAAGCTTTACAAGTATCATCCACTGTTCTCTGGCAGCAGAAAGGAAAAAACATATGTCACTGAGTTGCTGGCCTCAGGAATGTTGAGCTGATGGGGGAAAGTTTACTCTCTTGTTAATTTCAAGGTGCTTTAAGAAATTAGTGGCAGCGATGTTACCTGTTGGTTTCCATCTTATCCTTTGCTTCGTTAATCAGAACTCCATTGGGTGGAAAACTTTGTCCTGTGGAGCTTGAGGCCTGATGAAGTCTCCACAGTGCCCACTGTCACGTCTCAGGCCATCTGGGCGCGTTTGAGATGGAACTTGGTATTAGGCTAGTGGTAAAAACATCCCCTATCTGCAAGCTGATATGATGCTTGAATTCCCCTTATCCTCCTCCTTATCTAAGGTCTGCCTGCCC